TCGCACCGATCCCTGTGGAGATGATATAAACCCCGGAGGAAATCCTTCAAAACTAAATTTTTGCTTCTTGCCGCTTCACTGCAGTTCGAACAGAGAGCAACCACCCAAATGATTTGATCCTCCTCCAAGTTGCTAGAATAGAACTCTGTCACTAATGTGTTTAGTTGCATTAGCTCATTTGCAGTTAGTTGATCTGCAATGTTTAGACCTTCTTCAGACTTCCAATGCTATGAACTCTGGAGGCAATCCCCCATGTCACTGACCATGGCCTTAGTGTTAGTAGTGTGACAATATAAAAGTGGGAAGATCTCTTCTAAGGGCTTTGATCCAAGCTAGATCCCTTTTCAAAAGGGAGTTGAGTCATCATTGCCAAGTTTGAATATAACAATGTGTCTGATTCCAGTTTTGTCAATGTTAAAGCTCATCATATTCAGTCCAATGGCATTGAGATCCCTTTGCGAAAGAGATTTCTTAGAGGGATGATGTTTATTTTCATTGAGCCTCATGCTCCTTATTAAGTCTCCATATCTGAGTTGAATCATGTCACTCCATATAGCTTCCTTATCATTTAGGATCCTCCATATCCACTTACATAAAAGAGTCTCATTAAATCTAGTAATGTCTTTGACCTCAAGACCTCCATCTAATTTTGCTTTGCACACTGTTTGTCAATTTATCCAATTCACGCCTTTGCCTTCCTTCAATCAAACCATAGAAATTGTCTTTGTATTCTAATGATTTTTCTCCTTACCTTATCAAACATCTTGTAGAATGAGATATGATGAATAGGTAAATTATTTAGCACAACATTTAATAATGTTATTCTCCATCCCTATATGGGATATGATCAATCCACATCAAGGTGTTATGACACCAAATCCTAACCCTTTATTATTATCAATATAATGGCTAAGACAACTTCTCTTAAAAAAAAACTTATGTTAGTTTTAAGTGAATGTATCCTAACCTTTAAATTAATAATAATAAACGGGTAGAATTTGATGACATGATACCTTAGTGTCAATTGATCATATATATATATATATATATATATATATATATATATATATATATATATATATATATATATATATATATATATATATATATATATATATATATATATATATATATATATATATATATATATATATATATATATATATATATATATATATATATATATATATATATATATATATATATATATATATATATATATATATATATATATATATATATATATATATATATATTAGTGAATAGTCACTTTCTAAATCATTTTAATAAATCCAAAAGATATTCTCTCATTCATGAAATAATCCATTTATTTCAATAATTAAATTTTCAGATTTAAGAATAAAATAACTTAAATAATGAATAAGTAAATGTAAAGGCTCAATAGTGAATTTAAGCCAATACAAATAATAAAATGTTGAATAATCAAAATCCAGGTATATTTATTTTAGTTCTAGAGTAGTCAAATCAAGGTTGCCACCTAATTTTAGTGGATTTCATTGTCTTATTAGGTTACAATTTACAAACACTTACCAAGATTGTTGACTTTAAGACGACCACGTTATTCATTTGCACCTAACATTTTTAGATTTACAGGTGATATTTAGCATGACCAGTACAATTTTGGGTAATATGGTTTTTGACAGACAATTATTAGTTAACAAATCATTTTAAAATTATATAATTTAAATAATATATATAAATTATTATAACTTTCTAATCATTGTTATTAAATATAATTTATCTTTATTTTTCAAATTAAATTATTAGTTTATAAATATAAATAAATTACTTATATTAATATATAAATATAAATTCAATAAGTTTTTTAGTACCAATAATTCTTTTAATATCAATCAATACTAGTCAAAAACAAAAAACAAATCAAGTAGTCATCTGTTTCTCTTTTAAAAAATAATAAAACTCTTTCTCTATCAAACATCTCTCATTTTTATAATTTTATAATTTGATTTTATCGAGATCAAAAGAACAACCAGTGATCAGCAACACGTCGTGAGCTTTAAGTTTACCGGTGGTGAAAAATAGGAGAAGATGTACCTGCAAGACACTCCGATGTCAAAATGAGATTCAACGTGAAGAGAGAAAGCAAATACATAATGAGTTTAGAATATCTGACCCTCCAGTGGATGGAGGTATTTATAATGTGGGTTAGATCGTAAGGTGCACAACAGATGACTGTTAGAATCTTGCGTGAAAGTAGGAAAGACTAACACGTGGTCTTCGTTCTAGGTCAACTGCCCAACGAATCTCGGGAAGTAGAAGACTTATTCTTGAGGGAGAAATCGCAGATGAAAGGCGTAGGCAGTTGGTTGATGACGTGACCCCGCGTGAGAGGCACGTGGAAGACGTGTGGAGAGTGTGTGGAGAACATGACCTCCAACAGCTATGGAGGATTGGACATTCGTATTAAGCCCTCTCTGACACAGAGCTGGGTTGGGCCGTACCCGACGGTAAGGCAGTCCTAAACTCAGTCTTAAACATTTATCTTCTCTTGTCATCTTTAACACATCAAAGAACACAAAAAATTTGACGCATGAAATCTTTAACTCATTAAAAGAATTAAAAAATTCAACACATGAATTTTAGGTAAAAGTGCTTAACTAATCACTTAACCTAAATGTAGATTTATACATGTCTATTTTTTTTTCTTATCCAATTTATTCAAATCCAAATAAAAAAAATTATTTCTTCCGTTCATACAATTACTAAAGAATAAATAAAAATTCACAAGTATCAATAAAGAAAACAAATGACATGTACATTAGATATCTTTTCTTTAATCTCAACCATAAAATATAGTACTATATCAATGGTTTTTCATGTCCTAAAATATTATACCTCCATGTATAATAGTATGACTATAGCAAGTTTGAAATGTATACCTCTTTCTCTTTCAGTTTTGTTTTATAAAATGTTTATCTAAAGGATTCTTGTGAGCGGTCTTAATTTACAGTGTCAAACTTTTGAATATTGTTTTGTTTTATGTGCATTGAATTTCGGCTCCTTTTTCTAATTGGTCCTAGCCTCCAAAAGTTCTATTTTTTATTTTAACTTAATAGGAAAAACAAGAATCCACGTGCATGTTAGGTGTCACTATCACATAATACTAATAAAGTTTAATATATTTTTTTATTCTTTAACTTTAGTCAATATTCTTTTTGGTTTTTAAAAAAATAACGTTAAATAGTGATCTATTAACTCATACTCCTCCGTTATATATTTTAGTTATTTTTATTAGTTTTTATTAAAAAAATATTAAAATTTGTTTTGTTGAATTTTTAATTGTTAAGTTGGAATAAAATAAATGACTTAAAATAAAATACATGATGTCACATAGAATAAAAAAACACAAACTTTAGAGTGAGTGAGAAAGAAACCAATAAACACACCACCATTCTATTTACACACACAAACATAGAGATAAATGAAAACAAGATTTCATTTCTTCAACTTCAACCACCGCTCCTCTGCATCTGCAACTCTAACCACTCTTTTTTCACATGTTTTAACAATAATCATAACTTGTTCTCTCTTTTTTTCAACCATCACCTATCAACCCATGTTTTCTTTTTCAAAAATCTCATATGGATTTTTTTTTCTCAATGAGAGAGATGCTGATAAAAAGGTGAGATTTTTTTCTAAATTATTAATGGAGTTAGAAACATCAAAGAGTAATTTTAGGAAATCATTATTACTCACGGTTAGGTTTAAAAGGTGAAATTTTTAAATGAAAAATAAGGTTTTGATGATTGGTGTCAACCGGTAAACAACAGAGGCGGCGATGGAAGGAAAAATTAAACAAAACCAACATCCTCGGATTCCAAAATCCACTACTTTCCAAGTATTAAATTTAGATCCAATAAGAACCCATGTTCAATTTTTGAGACAGAACAATCCCAGAAAATATAAATGAGATTTTGGTGAAAAAATTTAAGTTAACGGTGAATAAAATTGTGCTTACCGAATAGTCAAAATGACATGAAAAAATAAAAATTAAACATGATTGAAAGTTTGGAGAAGAGAGAGATATGTGGCAACAATGGAGGAAAGAGAGAAAGTGAAAATAAGTAGGGACCAAATGAAAATTGAACATGACTGAAAGTTGGGAGAGGACAGAAATTGAATGTTTAATTTATCATTTGCTTATCTGACATGCCACCTCAGCAATAATTAACATTTTTTCACACAAACTAACGGTATGGACCAAATGGTTTAACGAAAGTGAAGTTAAGGGATCATTATATAACATTTTTTAGTTCAAAGATCAAAGCGAAACTTCGTTCAAAGTTAAAAGATCTAGAGACTAGTTATGCCTACTAATAATCTCATAAATAAAACTTCCTAACTCTTACCAATATATATAATGAGAAGATTAGGTTTATTTAGATGAGCTTCACTAAATTACATAAAAATGGAATAAATTTGATGAAATTCACATAAATTTAATATATATATATATATATATATATATATATATATATATATATATATATATATATATATATATATATATATATATATATATATATATATATATATATATATATATATATATATATATATATATATATATATATATATATATATATATATATATATATATATATAAACTTAAAGATAAATTTATGAGAGTTTTTAAAATCAAAACTAACAATATTTCGTGGCCGCAATGGCGTGAACTTGGAATCGACTTGAACATAAATTATGTTAGAGATTATGATGTTATTTTCTCCAATTACCATATAGAAACAAAATAGATTACTAGAATATGTCTTGATTTAAATATTAATATTTCTCACGTGAAAGTTGAAGAAAAAGAAATAATAACCAACCTTCCACGGTACTAGTAGGTTCCTATCTACCAAGTGGTAAGTTAAGTTTTAAATTAAGTGGTTATATATAAATAAGCAAGTTTGTGTAGAATATAACTTGTTTTGGCAACACGTAGAGATTTATTGAAGATGTGTGAAAAAGTGATAGAGATAAACTTTGGTGATTCAATAAGCAATATATCTTGTGATAAAGATGGTTTGTCCCTTAAGGCATCATCATTAAAGTGTCCTCCACCATTTTTGTTGAAAACTTATGAATTATTGGAAGAAGGTAGTGCAGTTGAAGATGGAATGAAAATAGTGTCATGGAATGAAGATGGAGATGGTTTTATTGTTTGGTCTCCAGCTGAATTCTCAGAGCTTATCTTGCCTAGATATTTCAAACACAACAATTTCTCTAGCTTTATTCGACAATTGAATACTTATGTAAGTGCTACCTATTCTTCCTATAAAAATATGTTAATATATTTATTGATTGTTTTCTATGTTTTTCTTTCTCTCTAACTTGATAGTTTGTTCTTATTGATTTGATAATAACAATTTTTGCTATGTTTTTTTTTATAAGCAAGAGATTATATTAATGGAATACAAAGGTAACTCTATCCATCATAGATATCGGTTGGATTGAGATCAGACAATTCAAATTTTGTTATATATTTTGATTATTATTTATATTAAAATGGTAGTTAATTTGAAATAGAGACTAGCAAATTTGATCTAACAATGCTACCAAGTGAATATTATAGTTGGAATGAATTCTATATTGTGATTCAACCCACATGAACATAATTAAGAATTTGGTCAAGTTAGTGACACAAATTGCAAATAAATAATACATGTGGTCAAATATAAGTTATTTAAACCCAAAGTCAAAATCGACGTACACATATGCTGTATTAACGTTAGTGACAGCACACTTAAATTGAAAAGAAAATCAATCTTGCTTGTTACAAAATTTTCAACAATATTGTCTTTGACCGTTCCTTTAAAAAAAAATTTGTGAAGTACGTACATAAATAAGCCATTTGATATATATTTTAATGTTTCAAACTTGATGCTTCAGTTTCACGTAATCTTTTACTAATTAATTACTTGAACAGGGGTTTAGGAAAATATCATCAAAAAGATGGGAATTTCAGCATGATAAATTTCAAAAGGGTAGCAAGGATATGTTGGTTGAAATCAGTAGAAAAAAGTGTGAGCCAAGTGTGTTTCCTTCATACCTCAAATCTTGTTCAGAGGAAAAATCAATGACTAATAATAATTCATCAGTAGAAGAAAATGGTGATAATCATGAACTGCTTATGGAGGAGAATAAGAAGCTAAAAAAGGAGAGATTGGAGTTGCAAATGCAAATAGCTGAATGTAAGGCACTTGAAATGAAGTTGTTGGAGTGTCTCTCACAATGTATGGATAGCCAACAAAATAAAGTTAGGAGGTTATGTTAATTGATAGTTCTTGTTTATAAAAGTAGTGAAGAAAAAGATGTGTTTGTTATCATCGAATAATTAATGCAAGCATCTTTTACATTACTTGGTTTAGTAATCAAATATGAATAGGGATCAATATTGGTGAGATTCATAAATGATTATCATAATATATATGGGCTGAACCAAAAGATATTTACTTATACTTTTCAAAAGATAAATAGGATAAGAATTTGTTTAATGCACTCTGTATTATTAGGATATCATGTAAAAACATGAAAGTGTCTTTAGAATTCAAAGATACATCTGTGAACGTATCATAAGTTAATAAAAGTATGATTTAATGTGGAAAAAAAATAAAGAGATCCATATTTTTAAATATTACGGAGATGCATTATTGAGAATGTTTGTCATAACGTGTCATAACCTTTTTTCTTCCTCACTTGTTAAACATTACGGGGTATGTTTTTGAATTATTTTAGAGATTCATCTCTGAATTCGTGTTTACAAAATATATCGGTGTAGCTCTGTGGGACGCATGAGGTGTGTTTTGAAATATTTCGATGATACATCTCCGGATTCGTTGTATCGTTTTGACTTAAGACAAATGTGTGTTGAGAGATGCATCTCCGAAATCTGAGAGACATTTCAAGTTTTTCATAAGGTGTTTTTTCAACATATAGGGTGGAATAAGAAATCCACTAAGGTTTTTACTAAAAATAAATGTGTTGTTTAGTACACCCATATAGTGATCACTCACTTTATGAAAATTTTAAATTATCCTTTGTATTATTGAGATATTAGATATAATCTAAGTTGTATTATGTGCCCCAAGCCCAAATCTAATTATGATTTATGTTTGTTATTTAGTTTGTTATTTTAGTGTATATAAATAGACACTTTGTATTCAATTTTATTCATTCAATAATATCAATCATTGTTTCTTTATTTTCTCTCTTTCTCTCCTCACTAAAAGTGTCTCACGCACTAGCAAATTGGTATCTAGGGCTCCGGTTAGATTCTTGATCGTGTTTTCAAGAATCACACATCAGAGATTGTGTTTCTGGGATAATGAGTTATTGTTGATCAATCGCTGAAAAGATGAATGGTAACGGAAATTTACCAAACTCCTTTCCATCTATTGACGGCAAGAACTGGCTCCGATGGAGAAAACAGATGCAATCTCTATTTGGCTTTCATGAAATCCTAGAAATAGTTACAAATGGTGTTCCTGCGTTTGATGAAGATGCAACCGACACACAGAAAACCGCTCACAAGGAGGCCAAGAAGAAGGATTGCAAGGCAGCATTCTACATTCAATCGGCGGTTGATGCGGCTAATTTCGACAGAATCACTCATGTTAAATCAACGAAAGAGGCGTGGGATATTCTTGTAAAGTACTATGAAGCAGGCTATGTGTCGAAGATGCAGAAACTCGTTCATCTCATGAAGGGTTGTGGTGAAACCCTGACTGATAAGATGATAGTTGAAAAGGTAATGTGGACATTGACCTCTCACTTTAATCACGTTATCGTAGCTATTAAAGAATCCAATAATCTTGAAACCCTAAAATTAAAAGATTTGATTGGTTCGTTGGAAGTGCATGAGATTAGGATTGTCGAAAGGAATGGAGTTCAAGACTCGATATAAGCACTACAGGCTCAATCATGGAAGAAGAATGGTGGTTCAAACAAGTTCAAAGGAAAAATTGACAAGACTCGGGGAAAAAAGTCATGGTCGAATCCTCACAAGAATAAGATCGATGATAGAACTTCTGAATCCTCGAAGAGAGGAGAAGGAAATTCCTAGCAGAAAGAAAAAGTAGAGAAAAAAGGTGTGCAATGCTATAACTGTGAAAAATGGGGTCACTTGGTCTACCATTGTCGGTACAGGAAAGGAAAAGGTTCGACAAAAGACAAGGATGAAGGAGCAAACCTTGCACGTCAAAATTCAGATGATATGGTAGTTATGGCTGCAGTTGCAGATGACCATGTCAAATCCAAGATCTGATTTCTCGACTCAGGCTGCTCGAATCGCATGACTGGTCCAAAAATATGGTTAGTAGATTTTGACGAGTCGAAGAAGAGCAAGGTCAAACTTGCTGATAATGGCTTGTTGCAAGCAGAAGGTACTGACAACATAGTTATTCAAATGAGCAATGAAGCAAAAGCCTTGATCAAAGATGTACTCTATGTCCCTGAAATAAGGTGCAATCTGCTAAGTGTTGGACAACCGGTCGAAAAGGGCTTCTCAGTGATTATGACAGATTGAACCTTAGAACTTTTCAACATCCAGAACAACTTGTTCTTAAAATCTCCTTTGTCGAAGAATAGGATATTTAAGAGCATGATTAGTTCGACTGAGGTACAATGTCTGAAAGCAGTTGTCAAACACATGAATAGTTTGTTGTGGCATTGTCAAACACAAGAATAGTTTGTTATGGCATCTGAGGTTTGGCCATCTGAACTTTAGGCCGCTAAATCAAATTATCACTCAAGATATGGTAATTGGTATACCAAATCTTGAGGTGTATGACAAACTCTGTGAAGGTTGTCTAGTCGGAAAGTAGTCCAGGAAATCTTTCGTTTCGACTATGCCAATGAGATCATCCTGCGTACTTGAAGTTGTACATTCAGATGTATGTGGTCCTTTTGATGAGCATACCATTGGTGGAAATAGATATTTCATCTTATTTATCGATGAATACAGTCGAAAGCTCTGGATCTATGTGATAAAACAAAAGGATGAAGTATTTGAAATCTTTAAGAGAATTAAGATACTTGTCGAAAATTAAAGTGAAAAGAAAATTAAAGTTCTGCAAACAAATGGAGGTGGTGAATACACATCCAAGATATTTGAAGCATTCTATGCAAAATATGGTATTGATCATGAGATAACTGCTCCTTATACTCTTTAATATAATGGAATAGCAGAAAGAAGAAACAGGACCATATTGGACATGGTAAGATGCATGCTGAAGCAGAAGAATTTGCCAAAATCCTTATGGGGTGAAGCTATTTCGACTGTTGTTTATATTCTGGGAAGGTTCCCTACTAAGAAGCTGAAGAACAAGGTTCCTAAAGAAGTGTGGAGTGGAAAACGATCATCAGTGAGTCATCTGAAGGTGTTTGGCTCTATTTGTTACATGCATATTCCTGATGCTCAGAGAAGGAAGCTTGATGATAAGAGTGAACCTATAATTCTGGTAGGATATCATAATATTGGAGTATACAGGATGTTCAATCCAATTAATCATAAGATTATGATGAGTCGATACATTGTGATTGATGAAAATTTTGCATGGGATTGGAATTCTAGTAATGCAATTGACAAGCCACTTATAAGCTATGATTTTGACGAAGCAAGTAATGATATCGAAGTAGAAGACATTGTTGATACTCCAGTCGAAGAAGAAGACGAAGCAGTTGTTGACACTCTCGACACATTCGAAGTCGAAGAGGATATGGTTGGCACAAGTCATAGATCTCAACAAACTAGAGCTCGTCCAGCAAGACTTCAAGGCTATGAAATGGTTGGTAATGGTGAAGTCACAATAGATGGGGAACTAGTTCATTTTGTTTTACTAGCAGGTGCTGAACCAATCAATTATAGCGAAGCCTTCAAAGATAAAAAATGGAAGTCTTATATGGTCCAAGAGTTACAAGCAATTGAAAGAAATAACACATGGGAGTTGGTCAAATTTACAGCTCATAGAAAAGTTATCGAAATAAAGTGGGTGTTCAAGTTGAATCAAAATATTGATGGGTCGATAGCAAGGCATACGACGATATTGGTAGCTCGAGGCTTTTTCCAGAGAGTATGACTCAACTACTCTAAAGTATTTGCACCTGTCATAAGATTGGAAACGGTTCGACTAGTGGTGGCCTTGACATGCAAGCATGGCTCGTCAACATTTCATTTAGATGTGAAATCGGTAATTTTTTTTAATGGACCTTTAGATGAAGAGGTGTATGTCACACAACCTCCTGGGTTTCTGATTCAGAAGGAAGCAAGTAAAGTATACAAGTTGCACAAAGCGCTCTATGGTCTCAAGCAGGAACCTAGGGCATGGAACAAGAAAATTGACTCATACTTGGTTGAATTGGGATTCGTAAAATACGAATCTGAATATGGTGTCTATGTTCAGGTTGTGGCACAAGATAGAACAATAATCTACTTATATCTTGATGACTTGTGAGTAACTGGAAATAGGTTGAAGAACTTGTCGAAGCTCAAGAGTTGATGAAGAAGGAATTTGAAATGTCGGATCTGGGAAAGTTGTCATACTTCCTAGGCATGGAATTTCAAATGTCGAAGCAAGGCATGGTGCTATATCAAAGAAAGTATGTCAAAGATATACTCAAGATATTCAGAGTGAATTATTCGACTCCTGTGTCTTTGCCTATCGAACCAAATTTGAAGTTAGAGAAGCATGGAGAGGAAGACAAATTCGATGCAGCTTTGTTCAAACAGATTATCGAATCTCTAAGATATGTGTGCAACAGACGACCTGATATATGTTTCTCAATCAGATTAGTGAGCAGATACGTGAGTGAACCAAGGGTGTCACACATGAAGGCGGCAAGAAGAATCCTGAGATACTTAAAAGGATCAATAAACTATGGAATTTTATTTCGACGAGACTCTGAAAGCAAAGAAGCTATGGTTACTTGTTATTCAGATGCTGACTGGTGTGGAGATAAGAAAGATCGAAGAAGCACTATTGGACATTTCTTTCAAGTATTTGGTGCCCCAATTTCATGGTGCTCAAGAAAATAACTTGTGGTGGCATTGTCATTGTGTGAGGCTGAATATATAGCAGGATCCTATATTGTGTGTCAAGCAATTTGGATCAGGTTTTTGCTTGAAGAAATGGAGGTCAAAGTGAAGAAACATCTGGTACTGCAGATCGACAACAAGTTACCCATTAATCTGGCGAAGAAACCAGTTTTGCATGGAAGAAGTAAGCATATCGAAGCTATATTTCACTTCTTAAGGGAGAAGGTGAGTAGAGGTGAACTTGAAGTAAGGCAGGTTCCTAACCTTGATAAAGAAATTAGGAATAATTCAGATCGACAATGATTAGTGTGTTTCGACAACTTGGATTATAGAGGGTATGTTGAGATATTAGATATAATCCAAGTTGTATTATATGACCCAAGCCCAAAGCTAATTAGGGTTTAGGGTTTTTTATTTAGTTTGTTATTTTAGCATATATAAATAGACACTTTTTAATTCAGTTTTATTCATTCAATAATATCAATCCTTGTTTCTTTATTTTCTCTCTTTCTCTCCTCACTAAAAGTCCCTCATACACTAACATGTATTGTTCAGATTTTAATATTTAGATGCGTAGATTATACACTAAATAAATTAATCAGATAGGCAACGCCATTTTTGTCAAAAATATGTTTGAAATTTAATTTCTAAACATAGTCTGGATTACAATCTTCAAAAAAAAAAACTAAACGGAAAAAACGAATTTGACTATCACTATGCATGCATATCACTCTTCATGCTCTTCATGATCATAACACCATTAAGAAAACCTACAAAAATCTTCTTTCATTTTCATTCAAGATTTTTAAATTCAAAACAACATTCTTCTGGATTTTGACGTCAAAAGGAGCAAAAGAAGCTGAAATTCCAGGTAATGTACGTGTATTACATTGATCATTGCTTGAGATCACCTAGTTTATTTTGCTAAAATATGTAAGTTGCATCCGAATTTTGAAATATGAATTCTTTTACATTGTCTCTGGAAATTGAAATCCAATTTGTTTTGCTGTTAAATTTGAATTGTCTTCTGTTATGATTGATTATAGTTATTGTGCACCCTGATGTCGTCTCTAATAATGTCTTCGAGGCTACTATATCTATAGATGTTAAATCATATGATGTCCATGTAGATGTTGGAAAAAAATTTACAAATAAATAGAAGTTTGTTATATGTGAACAGATGCTTCAATGGATCCGCACGGAGGATGTAAAATTAGAGTAGGATTCAGCATTGTAATTGGAAGGTCAAATTCTTACTCTAATAGAAAATATGCATTTATGACGATGAGAAGCAAAAGAAGTGGAAAGTATAAAAAGCCTATTCGGAAGTTAAAATGCAATTACATCAAAACGAGAAAACGTGGGTGTCTTTTTAAGTTGCGTGGGTACCTCAAGGCGAATAATGCATAGATATTGAATGTGATTTGTTGCATACATAACCATGCTTTGTGTCACAAGTTAGTCTGTCATTCGACTGTAAGTCGGATGAATTCTGAAGAGAAGAAACTTTTCTATAACATGACATTGAACATGGTTCTTTCTAAAAACATACTCTCAACTTTGAAAAGGAAAAGACTTGAAAATTTCACAAATATTAGGCTAGTGTACAATGTTCGCACTCGAAAAAACAATGCGATAAGAGGTCCAAGATCTTAAATGAAAAAATTGTTAAAATTGTTGGATCCTCTAGGTACATAGTTTCTGAGGATAAAAAACCCGTTTGAGATATATTTTAGACTCATCCTAATTTCATCAAGTTGTTCAACACATTTCTCATTGTACTCATAATTGATTCAACATATAAGACCAACAAGTAAAAGCTATCACTTCTAGAAATTGTTGTTGTTACTTCTACAAATATGACTTATTTAGTTGACTTTTCATTTTTGAAATGTGAAAAACAAGACAATGTTAAGCGGAATTTGGAAGTGTGTCAGACTATGTTTAAAGATCAAGAAAATATGTCATATGTAATTGTCATCGACCGCAATACCGCACTGATGAGTTAGGACGCAAAGGTGTTTCCTACTTCATATACTTTAGTGTATATGTGTCATATAAAAAAAATGAGAGGAAGACTTAAACATGTTGTATGGACTAAACAAATCAAGGGTGAAGACAGAAAAAATGGTCAAACCTAATGTGATACTGAAAAACATAATTGATGCCTAGAATGCTATAATAAACTCTTATACTATGGAGGTATATACCAAATTTATATTTTTAAGAAGGGTGTATGTGACATATTTGAATTTCTTGAAATATATTGAAAGCACAATTCTAGAACAAGTGAATGAGAAGATTATTTGGATTTGAAACGATTAGGTTTGACACTTTAGAAATACTACAACTAATAAAGTTAAATCATCTCAGTGTAATTGAATTTTATATATCATAATATTGTGTGAGCATAGAAAACAGGTTCAGATAGTTCAAAGTGTGGTTATACACTTAAGAGGACATGCAGTCTTTCATGTACTTATTTAATATTTAAAAAAATCAAACCTGATAGCCACATATTTATGGATGAGTTTTACTCATACTTGAAAAGGCTTCAATCTGATGATGATGATGTGGTGAAGGAGAGTAAATCAATATATTTACTATGACATAATGGGAGGTGATTCAAGAGAGATATCAATTTGAAACTTCACATCAAAGAGCAACTGAGAAAGATTGCATATTCAGAAACAACAAATTTGAAAACACCTGCAGAAATACTAAAAACAAAAAGTGATCCTAAGAAGGTCAAACCAACATCGAGTGACAATTCAACTAAATGTCTCGATCATATTTCGAACACGTTAGACACACTTTTCTAGACTCTTTAAATTCACAATTCAAAAAAAGTTCTAACAAAGCTACTTGCATAAGTAAACCATCGCTTTCACCAAATTTACCACCTTTAACACCTTTACCAAAAATGATACATTGAAGAGATATCAAATTTTATTCACAAATACATTGACTAGATTGTAGATGCTAAGAATGACGGTAACTGCAACTATCGTGATATTTATATTTCGTTAGGTAACATAGAGGAGAGTCACACACTTGTTAGTCAACATCTTATCAAAGTGTTGAAGGCGCATAAGAAATCATACACCGCGCTATACGAAAGCAAAGAATAGTTCGATGAAATTCATGCAACTGTTATTCCTTGTGTTAAGGGTCTAGCAGCGGAGGCAAATTAGATGTGTTTCTCTGAAATGGATCATCTTATAGCAAGTGCATATAACAGGGTGTTTATTGACATGACAATATATGATTTTTCGAAAACATTTTTCCACTTCAAAGTGAATCACCTCAAAATTAAACACATTATGTGTATTGGATGGCTTTCAAGATCACAACATTATATTCAAATTTATTTGAAAAAGGAATGTCTTATACCATGAACATCCCTTAAGTGAACATCTCATTTCACAAAAGAAGTTGAAATATATTGGCAATATCGTATTTATTACTTCAACGCTCTCTCCTTTTAAATTTAGGGTCATATAGGACACCCCTCTTGTAGATCTGAAATCTAGACTAAAACTTTCTTGCAATATCCAGTTAATCGAAGAGTCTCAAATTACAAAATTTGAAAACACTCCTAAATATTATTACATGTTGCATTTAAGATTAGTTTGTGATTAGTTAATAATATCACTGAAAAATATCTGGATAAGTTCTTGAATTTCGTTAGAGATTAACTTTAGATAGGTTGTGGCTTGCTTTGGAAGTTTTTATGGTTTGTTTTGTGATTCGAGCGCACTCAAATTTTAAAATCCAGAATCGAGTGGTATTCTTGAAATTTTGCATGAGTGTGTGAGAAAGTGAGAAAACTCAAGGTTATAATGAACAGTCTCAAAAATAAAATAAAACTAAAGTCAAAGATAGGAGTGCACGTAGGTTGGATTGGACCGGATTTGGCCTAACCCGTTATCCAACCCGTTCAAACTTTAATGGGTTGAATTCGTCATTCAACCCACAATTTAATTGTCAAAACCGACCCGAACAGACTCGTTCATTTATGGGTTGGGTTGGGTTTGCGGGTTGTGTTTTAAATTAAAATATTTTTTTTTTTTATGATTCTTTTTGTTGGTTTAAAAAAATATAACATAATTCAATACAATCATATTCATTTACAACAATTAAATTCAATGAAATACATCATATAATATATAATAAAATTCATCAACACGACACGACACTTGATATTAGTATAAAATTCAACAAGACGCGTTATTTTTATAAAATAGGTAAGTTGAAAACGATACAAAAGAAAATAAAAAACATTTGAAACCAAAACAATTACACGAACCTTAAACGAGGCAAATCTGGTGGAAATCAAAATGAAAAGGAGTAAAAATCTTGGACAAATCGTGAAGAACGAGCGAAAGAGGCCGGACGGAGGTAGTATTATTGGTGGAGTAATTTTTTTTATAAAAAAAAAATTAAAGTTATTAGTGAGATATTAGTTTTATATTTTTATTTTAAATAAAAATAATAAAAAATTACTAAAACCATGTAAATGGATTGGTTCAATGGATATGCTGGTTGAAAAATTCAAACTCAAAACTATACGGGTTGTTATAGATTAGGTATACCCATAAATGAATGGGTTCGAATAATTTATGGGTAATTTGATTTGGATCAATAGGTTGTGAGTCAAACTGCACCATGAAAACCCCTAGTCATAGATCTATTTTAGCACTGTTTAATATATAGTGACAATAGAAAATCAATGAATTTCTCTCTCTGATCATGAGATTAGTGAGGTCCATATTAATATATTTCGAATTCTAACTCAGTATTCCATTTGAAGAAGCTGCATTAAATCTTCAAAATATTACCAAAACTAGCATTTCAGACTCTCCCCAAGGATGATCTATGGTTACTTGTGAATTAGTTTAGTCAGTAATACATCGAAGCAAATGTGGAAAAAGTTAGCACACAATGGATAAAATGGCCTCATATCATATCAGACAGTATATAGAGTAACCATGTAAAACATTATAATGAATTCATACAAACACAACCTCATGGCACCAAGATAAAATTTGCATTGTTCATCAGACCGTTCAATACTCATAGCTAAAATGGCTTAAAAGATACATTCCAGGTTATTTGAAGGATTACAAATTATCTCTACTCAGATAAAGTCGACTTTAGCTCTCCATTATTTCGCAGCTCCATGATGATATCGCAACCGCCTATCAGCTCACTTTTGTAGTAAAGCTGAGGAAAAGTAGGCCAGTTTGAAAATACCTTCAATCCTTGTCTCACCTCATCATCACTCAATATATCAAAGTGACCAAATTCCACACCCTCCTCTCGGAGGGCATTTACAACTTTGGAACTAAAACCACATCTTGGAACTTCCGGGGTACCTTTCATGAAGAGCACGACAGGGGAAGAGGAAATCAATTTCTTCAATCGATCATCAATGGTCTCTTTTGGAAGAATGCCTTTCTCATGTAAAGTTTTCTGAAGTTCCCCGCTTTTTTGCATCTCCAACACAATGTCTGATCCGCCAATAAGCTCCCCCTTAATGTAAAGTTGAGGATAACTGGACCAGTTTGAGAAAACCTTAAGTCCTTGACGGACTTCTTCATCAGTAAGAATGTCAAAACTCTCAAAGGGGACTTTCTCTTGTCGGAGAATTTCAACTACCTTCCTACTGAAACCACACTTAGGTTCATCTGGTTTTCCCTTCATAAACAGCACAACTGAGCCTGAATTGACCAGGCTTTCCAGCCGAGCAGTTAATGCTGTACTCAAATCTGTAGATTTAGAAATACCACCCTTGGCGGTTCCTGAATCTGTTATATTTGCTTCATCGATGGTATCAATACCATGATCTTTGAAAACATCCTTTAATTCCCCACTTTCATGCATAGCAATTGCTATGTCACACCCACCAAGAAGTTCTCCTTTGCAGTAAAGCTGAGGAAATGTGGGCCAATTGGAAAACTTCTTCAAGCCCTCACGTACCTCTGAATCTGAGAGGATGTCAAAACTTCCAAACTTGACCTTTTCTTCCTTCAGAATATCAACAACTTTTCTGCTAAATCCACACTGTGGCTCCTCAGGACTTCCTTTCATGAAAAGCAAGACAGGATGAGAGTCGACGAGATCCTGCAATCGCTTTTTGAGATGACTACTAAGCCCTGGTTGAAGTTTACTTTTTTCCTTTGAAGGGATATTATCTTGTGCTAATTCTCTCACTGTTTCGAGAACAGCAGATCCTGCAGCCATCCCAAGACTAGCAGGAGATGCAGCATCACCAGGGTGTATCGACCCTGCTACTTTAGAAACCTTGTTGGCTAAACTTGACGGATCAGCTCCCTCCAATGTGTCAATGGTCTTGCCATCCTGACAGATAATGACTACTAATCAAATGATAAAATCAAGCAAAGATACACAACAAATAACTTTGATAAGTTGCAAAGTCAACTTGATTAATGTTAATATGCAAACTTTGAATTGTAGTATTATGATTGCTGAATTATTGGAGTATTATGAATTGTAGTATTATGATTGATTAATGTTAATTTTGCAGAAGAAGTTATTTGCTGAATCATTGGAGTATTATGATTGCAATCTAACAAAGATAAATCCTCTGTGTACATGGCAAACTTTGAATTGTAAATAAATAAAAACATCAAAACCAAGTCTTAATTAAAAATCTGCAAAAGCTAAGATAAACAACAAATAACTTTGATAAGTTGCAAAATCAATTTCATTTCATTTTTATACTCAATCACCTCGACTGTATGCAGAGAAAGTTTCATTAGTGCAATGCAGTAGTACATGATTATTGTTAGTTAACATAAACAAGTTATATCAAAAGAAATAATTTATTATAGATATTACCAAAGCGCGATAAGAGAATGTTAGTACTCATACTTCACATGATAAAAAGTCCAATCTTTGTACAGATGAGGAAGTAAGTGATAGGATCATGGAATTAGTTTTTAGACAATTTAAATATTTAACTCAACCATAAAATAAATAAATAAATAAATAATATTAATTAAAAAATAAATAAGAGACACAGTAGCAGTAGCACAAACTATACTCTATTGTTAAACCAAATTGAACACTAGAACAGAACGGTAGTCATCGACTCATGAGTGGAATAACATTAAAATGAACCTGATAAGGCAGGAGCAAGAAATTAGGAGGGGAAATAAGCGAGTAAAAAACAAAATCCTGCATTTTCCTAGCAAAGATGTGAGGGAGACAGCAATGGCACAAAACAATAAAATAACGAAATATACAACGTTATGGTTTCTCCCCCTAAAATTTAATGAAAAAAGGGGTGATGCATTGACAATGTAAATTAATTTTACAATGTCAACCAATGACGGTCGTGTATTCCGCCAAGTCAGACTGAAATTTTTAAATTACTTGTATGACATGGCAGAATGATATATTCCTATTGGATGATAATGTAAAACTTATATTGTCAGTGCATCTCTATTAGACCCATTTAATTAGTTTCATGTAATCTCTCACTAATAACAATAACAATAACAATAATAATAATAATAATAATAACATCAAAAACAAGTCTTAATTAAAAATCTGCAACACAACAAATAACTTTGATAAGTTGCAAACTCAACTTGATTAATGTTAATATGCAATTGTCTCAACTGTATGCAGAGAATGATTCATTAGTGCAATGCATCAATACATGATTATCATTTGTTAACATGAACAAGTTCTATCAAAAGAAAGTATTTCAGATATTACCAAAGCGAGATAGGACTATAGGAGAATGTAAGTCGGAGTACTCTCATACTTCACATCAAAAAGGTCCAATTTTTGTATAGAGGAGGTACTAAGCCTTAAGAGTGAGTAAAGACTAAAAACTGAGCAATTGAATAATAGGACTATCATTCCCTTTTTAATTTTAGATTTTTCAGAATTTCTTGTGCTAGTGTGTCTTTTGTTCTGAACAAGTACTTAGGGACAAATACATATATTAAAAAATCTTAGTGTAACTATGAGATTCTTTAAACAATAGCTTCTTTTTTTTATAGGAAAATGTTAGCAGTTAATTTGTTAGGGGGAGAGGGAAATGTTAGTGAACATCTAAAGCTTATAAGTATTTATGCGTAAGTAAAAGAACCATATTCAAAGCGAGGAGGGAAGTTCAAGCCTTACACCCAAAATGTAATTCTACCATAAAAAACCAAGAGACACTAGCACAAACTATACTCTATTGTTCAATAAATTAATCACTATAACAGAACCCTGGTCATTGACTCGTCAATGGTATAACATTGAAATGAACCAAATTGGAAGAAGGAGGAAGAAATAAAGAAAAGAAAACAAGAAAGTAAAAAACAAAGTCCTGCATAACAGCATTGACACACCACAATAGAATAGTGAAATATACAAGGGTTTTCCTAAACCACTCTGCCATAAAACAACAAAAGCATATGCAATAATACAAAGGATTATCCAAATCAACATAGTTTAAAACTTAAGCAAACCCTAAAAACCCACAATTATCGATCACTTATGAATCAACACGCAGTAATACTGAATTCTTTCTCAAGAACTAAAAAAAGAGTTTGCAAATTGAAGAAAGCATACCTTGAAGAATACAAAGAAAGGAACAGCAGAGACGGAATAAGCCTCGGATATCTCTGGCTGTTCTTCAGCTTCAACCTACAAAAGAAATTGATTTTGATTGATAACTCAAATAAAGCAACAAGATGATGCAGGGAAAGTAAGAGGGAAAGAAAAAGAATAAAAACCCTTAAGAAATGGGTGTGAGGGAAATCAGTGGCCAAGTGAGAGAAGAGTTGGTCCATGTGTTTTGAAGCTTCACACCATGATGCCCAGAAGTGAAGCACGACGGGAGAACCACCGCCAACCACCTCATCCAACTCTCCCTTTGAGTTCACGTCTCGTACAGACCCACCCATTCTGCTACTCTCTGCTCTTGATGAAGATCGCGTTTACAAACCCTAATTCTCGCTGTATAGGCAAAATATGCTGTTTTGGTGATTACCAAAATAAGTTTTTCTGGTTCTGTAGATAAAGTTTAATATACCGAACTAATACTGTAGTTATATAAAAAATCAAGGTTTTTGAAATTTTACTTTTTTATTTTATGATTTCATTAATCCCTCTCAATAAAATTTACAAGTTTTATTATTATGATGAAAAGTTAAGTGTTGAATTTTGAGAGCTCAAAAAATATTTATAGAAATATTTAAAGCTTGTTTACTAAAATGTTTTAAAAGGAGAGTGACTTGGATTGCTTGGGACACCTTCAATAAACCAAAGTAAAAAGGTGGTTTGAGAGTTAAAAGAAGGAGAAATCTTCAACAAAGCTCTCTCTTTGAAGAAAGTGGGTTTGAAAAATATTATCGAATGAGACTTCATATTCGTTATAGAATTCTCTCCTTATATCCAAATACAAGGACATCAAAGGTTTAATTTTAGACTCGTTTTCTTCGGTGGACATTCGCAAATGGCCTATTTGGTGGAAAGATATTAGAATTTGTGTGGGTTCGTGCAAAAATGATTCCAGTTGGTTTGATAATAGTGTATCTTATAAAGTAGGAATTGACTTCAACGTCAACTTTTGGAGGAACAAATGGATTAGCGATGAACCTTTAATGAAGCAATTTCTTTCTCTTTTTTGTTGTTTGCAAGTTAACTGATTCAAGATTTTCAATGTTGGTTCATGGTTTGATGGTAATTGGTGTTGGAACATCCCATCTACTTTGACATCTTTTTTTTCGGTTACAGTTGCTAGAGAATGGGAGGAGTTTCACTACATTATATTCTTGGTGGAGCCTTCTTCTGATGATTCTGATGTGTTTGTGTTGTGAAAAGGGATGTCTTGAAACAAAATATAAACGTTTTCTTTATAGACAGGAAACACGCAAGGATTAGGGTTAACAAAAAAAACAAGGTAAAACAACAAGGATTGATTACAAACTGTTATTCTTTCCTTTCTCTTTTGGAACAAGATTACAAGTATACAAGAATAACAAATAACCTCTCTCACTTGAATTAGGATTTTATCTTCCTATTTTTTCTTATGCAAGATGAGAGACTAGCATGCTATTTATAAGAAAAAATAGCACACTAATCTAATGGGATTTTTAACAATTATCCATTACAAGCTAACTTAAGGTACAAGCCAACTTAAACAATTGAGCTTACAAGTAAGACCCAATTCAACATGCTAACAAACCTAGCAATATCGACTAATGCATGTTAGAATGAACTTCAACAACAACACGCATTACTCGCGAACAGACTTCGATCATTCTAGAGTTTGATCCAATATTTCACAAATTTTCACCTTGGATCTAACTCTATAACATCAAGAAACTAGATTTCTTGATGCAGCTTTATCAATTGCATACAGTGGAAAAACTTGCAAATGGGCAACGTCTTGGTGATCATATCAGCAGCATTATGATCTGTTGAAACCTTCAGCAGTTGAACTTCTCCATGCTCAATTACTCCTCTGGAAAAATGCAGCCTCACATCAACGTGCTTGGTTCACTCATGATAGGCTGAATTCTTCGACATGTGTATTGCACTTTGACTATCACATTTAACAGTGATAACTCAACATTGAAGTTTCAGCTCCTTTGCAAAACCTTCAAGCCACAATGTTTCCTTCACATCTTCAGTTTGGGCGATATATTCCGCTTCAGTGGTTGATAAGGCAACGACCTTCTGAAGTGTTGTTTTCCAACTGATTGATGTTCCAAACATAGTGAACACATATCCAGAAATAGATTTTCTGGAATCCATCAACCTACATAATCAGAGTTGACATTTCCTTCAATTTCTACTTTATTATCTTCATCCAAGGTTCCACCATAGATTAGGACTCTATTCAGAGACCTATTTATGTACCTTAGAATCCACTTCAATGCTTGCCAGTGAGCCTTTCCAGGATTCGCCATGTACCTGCTTACAAGACTTACTGCATATGCTATGTCGGGTCTAGTACAGACCATAACATACATCAAAGAACTCACTATATTAGCATATGGAATGTTATTCATATAATTTCTTTCGACATCAGTGTTGGGACACTAATCTATACTCAGCTTGAATTAAGGGTTTGTCGAAGTCACAACAGGCTTTGAAGTCGACATACCATACTTTTAGAGAATCTTCTGTAGGTATGCCTCTTGAGATAAGCATAATTTCGACTGCTTTTTATCTCTTTGAATGTCAATCCCAAAAATCCTGGACGCAACTCCCAGATCATTCATGTCAAACTCATTATTAAGTTCAGCCTTCACCCTCATTACATCTTCGACATTGTTGTTTTCTATTAGAATATCATCCACATAAAGCAACAAAATAACAAATGAATTACCAGGTCGAAATCTAAAGTAAACACAGTGGTCGAACTGACTTCTAATGAAACTTATGCGTGCCATGAACTTGTCGAATCTCCTATTCCACTGTCGAGGAGATTGTTTCAGTCCATATAAAGATCTATTCAGTTTGCACACATAATCTTCCTTCCCTTTTTTGGCATACCCTTCAGGTTGCCTCATAAGGATTGTTTCATTTAGATCACCATACAAGAACGCAGTCTTCACACCCATCTGTTCCAGTTCAAGGTTGAATTGTGCCACTGTGGAAAGAAACATTTGAATGGATCTATGCTTCACAACAGGAGAGAACACATAATTGAAGTCGACACCTTCTTTCTGAGTGAACCCCCTAGCGACCAATCTTGTCTTATATCTCTTCGATGCCACTCCTTCGATTCCTTCCTTAACTTTGAAAATCCATTTACAGCTGACTAACCTGGCTCCAGCAGGTTTCTTGATCAGTTCCCAGGTGTTGTTATCATGAAGATATTTCATCTCATCATCCTTGGCCTTTAGCCATTCGTTCTTCTTTCGAATCCTCATAACTTCCTTATAGTCTCTAGGTTCTTCGTCTAGAACCTTACTTGCATAGATTAAGGCATAAGTTATAAGATCTGCATACCCAAGTCTCTGAGGTGGCTTGAAGGCTCTTCTCAACCTGTCTCTTGCTAGCAGGTATTCATTATCAGTCTCCTCATCTTCGACAACATCTTCTGCGTCTTCTTCGACTTCATTTGGGATCTGCAATTAAGCATCAACATGCTCCACCTCAACAGGAATCTCTCCTTGTTCCAGCTCTTCGTCAGCATCATCAGTTTTCTTGAAAGCCATCTCTGCTTCATTGAAAACTACATCTCGACTGGTGATACACCTCCTGTGACCTGGCTCTAGGTACCATGGACTATAAGCTTTGACTCCCTCAGGGTATCCCATGAACATGCATTTCAGAGCTCTAGGTTCGACCTTGTCTTTCCTAATATGAACATAGGCCACGCAGCCAAATACTCTCATTCTGTCGAGACTAGGTGGATGTCTTGACCAAATTTATTCAGGTTTCTTCGTTTCCACGGTAGTCGAGGGACATCTATTTATCAGATAGGCTGCTGGCAAAACAGCCTCCGCCCAAAACACCTTCTTTAATCCAGCACTAACCAACATGCATCTAACCATTTCAAGGATTGTTCGATTGAATCTCTCAGCTAAGCCATTTTGTTGAGGAGTACCTGCTACAATATTATGCCTTGCAATCCCAGACTCAATACAGTAACTGTCGAACGCTTTGTTGCAGAACTCAAGGCCATTGTCAGTTCTCAACCTCTTAATCTTTTTGCCAGTTTGAGTTTCGACCAGAACCTTCCAACTTTTGAAATTCTCAAAAGTTTCATCCTTCATCTTCTGGATGAATACCCATAGCTTTCTATAATAGTCATCTACGATGGATAGAAAATACCTTTTACATGAGTGTGAAGGATTCCTTGCAGGCCCTTGAAGATCAGCATGAATGTAATCCAGGGATCCATGTGTTCTTTGCTTGCCTTTGTTAAACTTCGCCCTACAGGATTTATCAAATACACAAGATTCACAAAACTCTAACTGTTAGACGTTGTCACCTCTTAGTAGGTTCTGCTTCCCCAATTCGACCAGGTCTGTTTCACTGACATGGCCCAATCTCATGTGCCACAATTTTGTCTTCGACACAGGTTTCATAGATGCAACATTTGTCGAACCACTTACAACCTCAGCCTCAAGGGTATACAAGCCTTGTTTTGTCATACCTCTTAAGACTTCCTTCGACCCCTTCATGACTCTTAGGATACTTTTCTCTCCTTGAAAAACATATCCCTTCCTCTTGAATTCACTAAAAGAAATCAAAATTCTATTCCAATCAGGTACGTACCTGACTTCAGTCAATAACCTTATTGACTCATCATGGAGCTTGAATCTCACAGATCCAATACCTGTAATTTTATAAGATTTATTGTTTCTCAACAACACCGGTACACCATCTTGATCACATAGCTCCTCGAACAATTCTCTGTTTGAAGTCACGTGCCAAGTGCAACCTGAATACATAATCCACTATTTTCTTGAGTCGCCACTTGAAACCACAGGAACATCAGATGAGTCAAAGTCATCTTGAATAATGGCTATGTTATCATTATCCTTACCTCCATGATCTTTCAGGCGTTTAGGGCACACATTTCTTGTGTGACCCTCCTTCTTACAGTGATAACATCGAATACCAGATGTTTCACCACTATAAGACTTCTGCTGACTTTTATCTTTCTTCTTATCATACTTACCATCCTTTCCCAAGAATTTTTCCTTAACGGCTAAACCTTTGCCCACCGTCAAAGGTTTATGCTCCTTTTGTTTTTTCAAGTCCTCAGAATACAAGGCTGATTAAACTTTTCCAAAGCTCATGGACTCCCTTCCATACAAGAGAGTTTCTTTAAATTGAGCATGTGTTATGGGCAAAGCACATAACAATAATAGTGATTGATCTTCATCATCAATCTTCACATCAATATTTTCAAGATCAAGAATCAGCTTATTAAACATAT